AATCAATTGTTTTTTCAATGTAACGGTCGGTTAATGAGATTTTCCTAGCGCTTTTTTCAGTTGAGCGAGCCTCTCTTGAGTAAAAATGTTGGGAAAAGGGTTATGGAAACCCAACATACCATCACTTTTATTCCCCAGACGTATTTCACATGCAGTGAGAACCATTCAGTATAAATGTGAGCAATATTTGAGTTGCTACTCCAACGTTAGAGCCGATAATTTGTGTAATTTCAGTGTTTTTCAGTTTTGCTGGCCTTTTTTCGGTAAAAACTCGAAGTTAAAGATATATAAACCCGAAATACCATTGATTTTATTTTTCAAACATATTGTACACACAGTAAGGACCATTCAGGCAAAAATTGAGCGATTTTTGAGTTGACTTTTCAGGGTAATGGTCGATTATCGGAACAATTTTGGTGTTATTTCCAGTTTTTTAGGCCTTTTTCGGACAAAAGTGAAAAAAAAAGATACTAAAGCCCAAAACGCCATCAGAATTGTTCTTAAGGCGTCTTTCTAATACTTTTAGGAGCATTTTAAAAAAAATTGGAGCAAAAAATAACTTGCAGCTCAAAAGTTATGGGCATTTGAAGAGGGGAAGGTTTTATCGCTAAAATCAGACAAAATCACAACGAACAATCAACCGCAGCACATCAATGAGTAAAGTCGAACATTTTATGCATTTTATTCTCAAATTTACATACTTTCATGGACATTGTGTCAAATTTTCACTTCAATCCGACGAAAAATGGGCGCGGGATGAATTTTTTTGGGGAAAATGACCCTCTCTTTCTCGGAAGTTCGAAACGTCTCTTTCTTGAAAATTCTTAAAACTTCCAAAATTCATATCTCAGTGAGTTTTTCGATTTGAGACCTAATATTTTGCAGAAGTTCATTATTTGGTGGTCTGATCAAGAAAAAAATTTATCATCAAAATCCGAGTCGGGCGGTTGCATGGCTGGTAGGTTCTATATTGACGGTGAAAGTCGGCAATCACATAACTCGGTTTGCGACGTCGCAGACTTCCTGTCATACTTCATTTTTTAAATGGAAAAGTACTCAACGGCAATTCTTTAAAACTGTCATGATTTTTCTTCTCAATGCGAAGAAAATTCTGCAAAAACTTCAAGAAATAATATCAATTTGTTCTCCTTTAAAAAAATGACGTAGAGGCGGAGATTTTCAGACACCGCAAACGAGTTATGTGATTGCCGACTTTCACCGTCGATATGGAATGACCCTATATTAGAAAAAGGAGAAAACAGTATACACCTGCAAAGGACAAATTATTTTTCTTTCACTCACCTCGTATCCTCCATTGGTGTTATTTTTACTTGTCATTACAACTATGGCCATAGAGAGGCTTGCTCTCATGTAGAAGGAAACAAAAAAACAAGAAAATAGTAGTAAAGCTTGAATTTGCCTTGTGCCCAATAATGGTGTGCCTGAAAATAATACGTTCAGGTTAAAAAAAAATGAACAACCAAGGGGTTTTCATAAGAAAGTTAAACATGCAAAATCGACTTTTACGAAGAACTATAATGCCTCATTGAATACTGTTACATGGAGAGCCTCCTAGGACTTGACCTAAAGGAATAAACATTTTGAGAGCAACTGGTGGACTTATGACAATAGCACCAAAAACTGGTGTAGTTGAGCTTTTTTTATTTAAATTTTTTTGTTTGGAGTTATTTTCAACTGATTTTTGATAAATGATCTTCTGGGAGTTTTAAAATAAAAAAACCCCAGTCCTATAAAGAAAGGGACTTAACATTCAAGCCATTCTTCAGTCTTCACACTTAAATAAATTTTTCTCATGATGAGGAGACTTGCAGCCGCAGCCGCAGCCGCAGCCCCCCCCCCCCCCCCCCNGATTTTAAGGCCACGAAGACGAAAGTTATGCTGTTGGGTAATTTATTTCTATGCTATGCTTTTCATAAACAAATATAAAAAAGTAAATATATGAAGTGTTGAGAAGTATGCATTTTTTAAAACAAAATTCCAAAGGAAAAACTGGAAAAAGGAGTTTATTGCTCTTATTACTAATCATGGCAAAAAAAACTTCTTGAGTCTTTAAATTGATACAATCCTATATACCTAGTTGAATCATGAGTTACTTAATACTTACTAGAATCTGTAGCTGGAACAGATTTATTTTCAATTGTTGAGTTGTTTTCACCATTTGTCACTTTCATGTTGTTGTTATGGCCATCTTCGTGAATAGTTTTGTTTCCATTGCTGACGTTAATTATATCATGGTTACTTTTTTGACTCACATCTTCGGTGCTACCTTCATCTATTCGATATACTTTCTTTTCTTCCATTGTAGGAAAGAACCCTGAGACAAAGGAGGAAAAAAGAAAATTAGGCGATTATCAAGCTTCCTCTGAAACAACTATAAGTAGTTTGATCCTACCACCCCCCCCCCCCTCAACCCCCACCAAAAGACCCTGAAAATTTAAAAATTCAGTACTAAACTTTGTTATGCTCCGAATCATAATAATTTGGATACTTAAAAGTACGTACTTCCTTTTCAATACATCTCTGACCAACTTTAATTTCATCGGATTCTCTGGGTCTTGAATTTTTTTTGATACTTCCCGATTTTCTTGATTGCTGGTAATTCTGCATCGTAAAGCTCCAAGTGGATAGCACTTCTTGAGACATAGCAACCCATACAAAAAATGTGATTGATAGCACTTATTTTTTAGAAATCGTTTTAGAGCTTCCTTACACTTCTAGGTATTGGCTAAAAAGTATCGGCACTAAAAGTGGAATCCCGCTCAGATGAAAAACTGCAATAATTATGAGGAATTTTGCAACGTTGAGTTGTGATGCATCAAAGAAGGCTCACAAATAGTTGACCACTGTACAGTATAAGAATTTTTGCATTGCAAAAGTATATTCCCTCGTCTGAAGATCATGAAAAACACATTGAATAATCGAAAATTTTCAAGATCAACTCGGTACGACAGCGTATCCCGTTTTTTATTCACACAAATATTATCAGTGCCAACTTCTCGCCGATGAATAAGGAAATTTTTTTTTCTAGGTCAAATGGGTCATTCTTAACGAACTTATCATTGAACATGTAACTATGATTAGGTTCCACGCTAAGTTCATTCATTCTCTGATGCAGGATATTTGCAAACTTCCCTGAAACAGTTCGGACCAATGAAAAAATTATTGCAATATGAATTGCACTAAAATTAGTTCAGTATTCAGGATACACGTAAACTTTGGTTATTCCGCGAGCGGTACAATCGAAGTTAAGAATACGAAAAACAGTAATTTTCACTCATAATTTAGAGGAATGTCCAGTGCGTCCACGATGAACCTCGTGCAATTTCGAATGGAAGACAGGTATCGTGATGCATGGTTTTCCATGTCTTCCGGTAGTCCATTGCTTCAGGAAGGAGCCAGGATTACGATAGCTTGTTTTAAATAAAAATCCCCTCTTCGAAGCATTAGTATAAATGGCGATCCAACGTTAGAGAAGGGCCGTCTTTCAAGGAACAAATATCTACCGTAAGTACTATATTGTAAGTAGCGTATAATGATGCTTATAGCCTATCCTTAAATCTGAAGGCGCAGAGCTCCGATATCTCTCCTTCCGATTCTAATTCAGTTTTACGGGTCACCTGGTCACGCACAAGAAGTGGTGCCTCACTTTTTGCCTTATTTTGATAGTGGCTATAGTCAACAGCTTAGTCAGGTTTAATGGTTTTTTTTTTTTTTTTTTTTTTTTTTTTTTTTTTTTAATTTATTTTTTCTTTCTTTAATCGCGTCTCCGCCTCCTTGGCCGAGCAGACTTCATAACACAATAACCTCTTTCGGCCTCTGACCTCGGCAATCAGTAACATCTGAGCATCATCTTCACACTTACTCGGAACCCTCGAGGACAACCGCTTACACGAGCGCTTGAAAAAATGAAAACCTTTATTTCATTTCATAATTATCTCTCATTCAAAATATTTTTGAATTTAGATGCCCGCCGCCCTCTTACTTTGTTTTTCTTAATTGATGTATAAAATTTATTATTTATTTCTGACCGAGGTCCGATTGAACGTCATTTGTAATGCCATTAGATCGACACTTTCCTGGTGCAATTTGTGTTTTCAAGTCACTCAAATCCCAGTCAACTTTCCGTCTTGCAAACAAAAAACAAAGCAAGTATGACGTGGACATCCTTCTGTGCGCAAATCTATTTCTAATATATTATGACGCTACAAATGCATACGACCGTTAAAATAGTTGATAATGGTAAAATGACGCATGTAATGTTTGTAAACAGTGGGGGACAGGGACAGAGCACTGGTCTGACGCGGAGAAATAAGTGATAATGAACTATCAAGATTAGTTCCAAGCTAAACGCTAATGAACGTAGTCAATGATGCGATAATTTACACACAAACTGGGCCAAAATGAAGAGAATTGACGTAGTTAGAGAGCATTCACCCGTAATATTGAGAGGAAAATACAGGAAATCGCACATGTAAAGACTTCGGCGATTCTGCGTTTTAAGTTTGCGAACACGCTTCATCGATAATGTTTTAAAAAATTAGTTTATTTTCCAAGACGAGGAGTGCACCAAACTTAATATAGACTCGGCGTCTTTCATCGTCTGTTCTCAAATGAAGGAACGTAACTTCATTCCAAGGCTGCAAAATTTACGAGAAAAAATGGATGTTTCACAAAAATATGACGATGTAATTTCTGTGCAATATTTGATTGATTCTTGCGAGTAATTAGGAGAAAAATTGGTAAAATTGTCAGTCAGAAATAATCAATAGTTTTCTGGCAAAAATACGGTCCACGAGAAGAAATTTTGCGACATTAAAATGTAAACACGTTCTTTCATTTGGAAAATGTCGACATGATTCCTTAATAAATTCCGAATGATAGCTCAGAATGGCAGAACGATAGAGCGTCAGTATATTATTATATAATACATTTTCTTTTCTTTTTATGATTAAAAAAAAAGAGTATTTACCCCTGATTGAAATATGATGGAAAAGAGGAAACATTTATAGGTTTGAAATCTCATTTTCAGCCGTAAAAAGGCGGGTGCCACACACGGGAGGGATGAGGCGCCCAAAAGTGAGGCTCTGCTGCGCGCGCACGTCGCATGTTTGGATTGTAATTTCGCGGCAGATTCGAACCTAAGGGGCGAGTTCCATAATACATTCTTCTCAAATGCACAGTATTAAAGTAAAAAAAGTCCAGAGTTTTAATCACGATTACTTTAATTAAATTTAACCTCTCGTAAATCCATACGTAAAAAGGGTTTCCTTCTCCGTAAATTTTAACAGTTTTATAGTGAGTTTAGTGATTAAAATTTACAATTTTTAGGAGATTTTTTAAAGTTCTTACTACAAGGGAATGTCTTGGCGAAGATTCTTTACTTTAACTCGCTTGCTCTTGACTTTCACATGGATGAAGCTAGCAGAACTTTTCGTGGAAGGGAGGGGGAGGATACGCTCCCAGGTCGCTCCCTCAAAAAAAGAAGAAAAACCGCAACAATGATGCTGTGGGATGTTTCTTTTGTGGGGGGGGGGGGGGCCCTCTCGAGAAGGACTGGGCAGTGGGCTCCTCTGATGCCAGCTTTGCTCTCTCTCTCTGATATTTTGGTACCCTGCTACGAAATTTCTTTTCCATTTTACTGTTAGCCTTTCATCCTTACTGCTACACGAATTGTTAATTTGAGAGAATAAGATTGAAGGAAATTCATTTGTGAGCTGTCTGGAAAAGAGAATTGGACGTATTTATGCTACAAGGAAATATGTGCAAATGAGTGAAAGCAAAAAGATTAGTGTAGCTTGTGAGCCCTATGCACATAGATCCTCTTGATTCGATTTATTTTCGCATAATTCTTCTCAGCATAAATACGTTCAATTTTACTTTAGCACTTTCTCGTCTCTTTTCTAAATCCTTAAGCTTCAAAAATCTCAAACAATATTTCCTCGATAAAAGCAATAGGTACCTGCACCCGCTATAATTATGATTATAGGCATAAGTCTATTGCTATAGCGTACCTACATTTAGAAACACATAGGTACCTACCTCAATTACTAAGTTTAATAAATGTATGTGTCTCCTGAGTATCTTTGCAGAAAAACGTCTGAAATTTTTACAGGATATTCTTTCTGTCTTGAAGAGAAATCAACGGAAATTAAAAGAGAAAACTGGGATCATTTCTCCTTAGAAAAAATAAACATGTTGGAAAATGACTAACGTCTTGAATCCAAAATGCATGTTTTTGGACTTAGGCCATCAGTGTGCTCAAGAAGCAGTATTCTGATTAAGTGATGATTAAAGTATTAATGGCAATATTTGTTGAATTCGTAATTTGTATGAATTATTACATTTTGAATTTTGCTTTTCTTTTGAATTTCTTTTGAAAAATCTTTTTGCTTTCACTCATTTGCACATATTTCCTTGTAGCATAAATACGTCCAATTCTCTTTTCCAGACAGCTCACAAATGAATTTCCTTCAATCTTATTCTCTCAAATTAACAATTCGTGTAGCAGTAAGGATGAAAGGCTAACAGTAAAATGGAAAAGAAATTTCGTAGCAGGGTACCAAAATATCAGAGAGAGAGAGCAAAGCTGGCATCAGAGGAGCCCACTGCCCAGTCCTTCTCGAGAGGCTCCCCCCCCCCCCCAAAAGAAACATCCCACAGCATCATTGTTGCGGTTTTTCTTCTTTTTTTGAGGGAGCGACCTGGGAGCGTATCCTCCCCCTCCCTTCCACGAAAAGTTCTGCTAGCTTCATCCATGTGAAAGTCAAGAGCAAGCGAGTTAAAGTAAAGAATCTTCGCCAAGACATTCCCTTGTAGTAAGAACTTTAAAAAATCTCCTAAAAATTGTAAATTTTAATCACTAAACTCACTATAAAACTGTTAAAATTTACGGAGAAGGAAACCCTTTTTACGTATGGATTTACGAGAGGTTAAATTTAATTAAAGTAATCGTGATTAAAACTCTGGACTTTTTTTACTTTAATACTGTGCATTTGAGAAGAATGTATTATGGAACTCGCCCCTTGGATTCGAATCTGCCGCGAAATTACAATCCAAACATGCGACGTGCGCGCGCAGCAGAGCCTCACTTTTGGGCGCCTCATCCCTCCCGTGTGTGGCACCCGTAAAAAGGCCCGGCAAACAACGATCAGATGGGCACCTAGCATCAACATATACAAACTTCAAAAATCTTCTCAGAGAGGAACCTATTGCTTTGCCAATTTTGAGACTTCACGAATGCAAGGAACTATACTGCCATGCTTAGGAAAAACGCCGAGCCTTTAGGCGCTGCCAAATTTTCTTGGACAAATCACT